CCCAGCTCGCCGGGCTGCGGGCACACCAGAAAAGCGCCCGCCATCGGCCCCCCAACGCCTCCCTGCAGGCCCACTCGCCGGCCCTGCCCGTGCCCCATCCTGCCTCCCTGGCCCATCACATCCCCACCATGGTGCTGTGAAGCCCTGGGGCGGCAGCGGGTTTTTGGACAGCAAAGACTGGCGCTGAGACATGCGATGAACTGGGGGGTGTTGGCCCTTGGCAGAGCTGGGGGGGGCAGAGGCAGGGCTGCTTTGTGTGTTGAAGCGGGGGTGCTGGTTTCTTTTCGGAGCATCGCCATTTGCGTGGGGTTTGACAGGCTGTTTGGTGAGCGAGGGGGCTTCCCCCCAGCTCTGCAAGCCACTGGTGCAGCCGCCTCGCGCGGGATCCTCCCCGGGGAGATGCAGTGTAGGGTGGGCTGCTGGTCCCTGGGGGCGGCAGGGGGAGAGGGGCGAAGGGACACAGTGGGACGGCCTGTGTGGATTTGCCAGTGCACTGAGGGAGGGCTGGGGCAGCCCAAAAGCTGGGCCTGGATGAGTCACGCCTGGGCTTTACAGATAATTTGATGGAAAGAAAAACTGCTCTTATCCCTCCTCCTCTGCTCCAGTGAGCATCCAGCAGAGACACACGCCCCGTTGAAAGGCTGGCACGGCGCTGTCGCGGCCCCCCCTGTTTGTGCCTGCTTACCCCAGGGGCAGCTTTGGCCCTGGTGGCTCTTTCCGAGGCACACGTTTCCCTCTGCAGGAACCATGATTTAGCAAATGGTCGCGTTTCCCTCCCCAAATCCCCTCGCCTGCCTTCCTCCAGCCCAAGCCATGTGTCGGGGTTTGCCCGACGCCTCCGAGCAATGCCGTGGGCAGAGGGCATGGGCTGCGTGCCACGGGGACGCCCCCAGCACGATGTGCCAGCTGGAAATGCCCATCCACAGGCAGGTTTTGGGGGGGGGGACGACCCTGTGCCCTGCCAGGCTGTGCCTGCTCCAGCTCCGGGAATATTGCTTCCCCATTGCTTCCCCATTGCTTCCGTGAAGGAAACATTTCGGCTGTTACTTCTACTGCCCGCTGGGGACAGAGAAAACCCGTCCCTGGGCCATCCCTGTCCCCAAGGACAACTCTAAGCGCCCTCTGGAGTCCTGCTACATGCGAGAGGAGGGCTGTGTATCATAAAGCTTAAAAGAAGGTATTCTAATATTAATTATAAGTCTAAGATGTATAAAGTTCTCACAAACTGTGTTTTACTTCCAGAAAAAAACCCCGTCACTTTAACTTTGTAAATATTTATGTAAACATTATTTACAAGACTTTGATATTATATATTATTTGATTGTATATGTACACAGTGTAAATACATTTGTACCTCTCTCTTGTATTCTAAATAAAAATTACTTGGAACATTTATCATTTAGAAGATGGATAGTTTGGGAGTGCTTTATTATGTTCTGTGCTGGGGGAAGGATGTAGCAGTTGGGATGAGCAAATGTTTAGACTGGCACAAGGTGAATAAGGAGATGTAGCATCGTCTGTTGGACCAAATAGTGCAGCTGGGAAGAGGAAAGATCGGCTTGGGGCCACAGAAGCCCTTTTGCAGGTCTGAAAGAGAGGGGGTGGTATCATTTGGCCTGGTACCTCCCTTTCTCTAAGTGTACAGTCTCTACTTGAAGCACGAGCTGTTGTTATCCTCTGAGATCTTCCATTAGGTCGTATAGGAAGAAATTTTTTACAATGAGGGTGGTAAAACACTGGAACAGGTTGCCCAGAGAGGTAGTGGAGGCCCCATCCCTGGAAACATTCAAGGCCAGGTTGGATGGGGCTCTGAGCAATCTGATCTAGTTAGCAGTGTCCCTGCTCACTGCAGGGGGGTTGGACTAGATGACCACTAGTGGTCCCTTCCAACCCTAAACATTCTATGATTCTATGATTCTATGTATTTCAGCTGTGATGGGCTACAGGTGGAAGTCTTACTTGAAAGAATAACGTTTGATTTTGGTCCCGAGGAAGCAAAGCATTTGCTGAAGGTCATCGCTGGCTTCTTTTTCTCTGGTATTTTCTCAGCAGCTCTGAGAATCTAACCAGTGTTTGAATTAAATGAATCAAACTTCCACACAAACGTATTATTTACCATTGGGAACGCCTTTGCCGAGGGAATGGGTAAATCCCTCATTCCTTGCAGATGTCTAAGCCAAGCCTGAGCGCCGTCCTGGCCTCTGCCTTCCTGCAGTCCCCCGCTGCGGGCTCGCTGCAGCGACCACCGGGTGAAATCCTGCTGCCGCCATCCCACCCCGCTCCCCTCGGCCTCCTGGAGCAGCCCCAGGAGCCTGCCTTTCACCTCGGGAGAGGATTAGGGGATTATCTTCGGGACACGGGGGGCACAGCTCGTGTGTTCACACAGGGGCGTGGGCACCCCAGAAACTAGTGGTGCCACTCGCCTCCGGGGCAAATGCACCCTTTGCCCGCAGTGCTGCCCTTCTGCTGGGGGTGGCCTCCCAAGGTGGGGTGCTGGGGGCGCAGGGAGAGGCTCGTGGCGGCCTGCTGCCCCCGTGGTGC